AGGAATAAACCTTCAGTACTACAGGGTATAGCCCGAAACCAAAAACAAATAAAAAAGAAATTAAAACAAGGAATTATTAAAAATCAGGAATAAAAAACTTTTATCACTGAAATAAGATAGAAAAGCAGGGACTGGTATGTAGCTCAGTGGCAGAGCATATGTTTGGCATATGTGAGGCGAGTACTTGACCTGACTGCCCAAATGGAAATAAAATTTTTAAAAAGTTTTAAAAAGAGAATACTATATAGGAACTTCAGAGGGATTTTAAAAAATGATCATCTGAGTACATGGAGGGGAGAAAATGAAGAGTGCAAAATTCCAGCTCCAAAAGATTTAAATCTAGAGAATAAAGGGTCTAATTCATAACTCAATATAAAGCAAAGAAACAAAAAAAGACAATAACATTTCAAAACACAAGGAATAAGAACTCTTGACCAGAGAGACAGAACAGGGATTAAGGAGGTTGCCTTGCATGTGGCTGACCTCAGTTTGAACCCCAGTACAGCATATGGTCCCCTGAGCACTAAGAGTAACCCTTGGGCAGAGAATAAGAAATATTTTCTGGGCACTGCCACACATGGACCACACTCCAACCCACAAGAGACCAAAGCAGGAACTAGCAGGGAATTCTCTTTCATTTCAGAGGTAGAGAACACACTTCCTAAGTGGGAAGCTCTAATATGAAACCCAGTGTACTGGGTAGGGGTGGGGATGAAGTCTGGTATTCGAAGACAAATAGTATTAAAGCATCACCCAAACCTTTATTCCACTCCAGAGACAAAGAACCACGCCATATAGACAGAACTACAACGGATGAATAGGGGCTGGCCCAGGGATATTCAAGGATACACAGTTCAGCAGTGCTGGCCTGATATGATGCTCGGACCAGTACTACTGTTGATCACACACAGGGGTATGATGCAATGTCAAGGGTTGAACATGGGGTCCAGGTGGTACCAGAGATTGTATTCACGGTCTCCTACAAACCAGACAAGTGCTTTACCACTTGAGCTAGCTAACGATTCCTTACCTGTTAACATGTATTTGTTTTGTTTTGGGGACCCACATGCACTAGTGCTCAGGGCTTACTTCTGGCAACGCTCTGGGACGAAGCCGGGGTTGGCTGTGTGGAAGTACCTGAAACTCGGTACTATTTCTCTGGCTCCTCCCTTGTCTATATTTTTCAAGAATTTTTTGAACCACATAAGATAGCTGCCTAGTCTTGGAAAACAATCCAGAGCAAGAAACTGATCCCTCTTGTAATTTCCTACAAGAACTGTCAAAGAGCCAGGAAGTGCTGCCGAAAAGGAACCCTAACACTGCACCAACACTAGTAGTATTCTCCAGCTAGACTTTCTTTTACTTCTTTTTGGGTCACACTCTGTAGTACACGGGTGACCATCTTTTGTCAGGGATCAAACCCAGATCTCCAACATGCAAAGCATGTGCTTCAGTCCTTTGAGCTAACTTTCCTGCCACATTTTCCCCCTCACAGAGTTAGGAATGGGGCTTAGTGGTAGAGTGCATGCATGCCTCCTGAAGCTCAAGCCCTGGTATTGAAAAAAGTACTTCCTCTTGGGGTTGGGACCACCCACCACCCCAATCCTGATTTCTGGCAGTGTAAATGAATGCATGGGACCAGCATTTCTTCTGAAAACAGCAACTATTCTGATAGTTTATGGAATTCCTCTGGGACAGAAAACAGATGGCTAAAATCAAGGTTCACTTAACAGGATGTTCTCACAACAGGTAGTTTTCAAATGAGTTAGAGGTGTGCAATTGGAACCCTTGATGGGAAACCTTTCAATTCCTATTCCACGCAGTGCCAAACACAGTCATGAAAGAGCTAGAAGACCTGAAAAAGGAACCAGAAAATTTTTTTTCCCTTCTGTTTGGGTCACACCTGGCGATGCACAGGGGTCACTCCTGGCTTTGCACTTAAGAATTTCTCCTGGCGGTGCTCAGGGGACCATATGGAATGCTGGGAATTGAACTTAGGTAGGTCTCGTACAAGGCAAACACCCTACCCACTGTACTATCACTCCAGCCCAGGACCCAGTAAATATAAAGATACCATCAGAGAAGCCCTCAGCCTGTTTTAATGACCCACCACTACAACCTGAGGTTTTCTAACCCCCAAACATACAGATGCCATCATCCTTTTTTGCTTTATGCAGTTCTTAAAAAAAAAAAAGGCAAAACATCCAAAGTAGTAAAACAGTAGTAACTTCCAGCCATGATGGAGGGTCCCAGTTTGCTTTTAGACTGAGACTCTTTTCTCATCTCTAATACATTAAATTTAGAAGTAAGATTTAAATTACACCCGAATTTAGAAATTCCTCTTTAGTTTAAAGTTTGTAATACAACTGTTCTGGAACTAAAATTTTGAGTACTGAAATTAAAAAACTGCCCACAATTTTTGGCAACAATCCAAAGGTACTTTAAGATAGTGGGATCAAGAGGCACAGTAGCTCTTCCAGTTCTTATATAAAAAAGAGCCTTTTGGTACTCTACAACTGTAAGTAGTTGGAGAGAGTCGGAGCTACCATAAAGCAACAACAGTTCTGAAAAGTGACTGCTTAAGACTGTCTATAGAACTATAAAGCATATGTAGAGCCCAATCTAATTTTTTTGTTAATTCTCATTACAACAGATAGTTCGAAGGATGGGAAATGAGAATACCAAACTTGGGATTTTATAGGAAACTTCCAAGTATTGTTACTTCACAGTCAGTTTTCTAACAAGTAAAAAGAAAAATATAGAATGCATCTGCATTTCACTTTTTCTGCTAACAAATGAGAAACAGTATCTTTGCTTAAGCAGATCTACTAGGATGGGGGAGGTAAGTTCTGAGGTATAATATTTGCCTTATATCAGTGAGACCATGAGATCCAAAACTACAAATAAAACAAAATGAAAGTACTATAACTTGAAAAGACTAAAGGGATATACCTGATAACCTTTCATTATCTGTACTGCATCCCATAAGGGAAACTGTACCATTAATGGTGGGAAATAAACACTGGTAAAGGGAAGGGTGATGGAACATTATGACTGAAACCCAATCATGAACAACTTTGCAACTGTTTATATCACTGAGTGAATTAAAATAAAAAAGGTAACAAACATGCCCACCACCTCCTAGAGTCCTATTGTGTCCCCTTGTATGTGTGTGTATTAGGGGTGGAAATATAACTTCGCCTGACAAATTGAACAGTCTTAAATGATTAAATTTACAGGAATAGAAAAGCATATTTAGATACTTTCAAAATTTGCCACAAATTTTACTAATTTACTAAAATTGCCTTGGGTTAAAATATTGTTAATGCTAATTTCCAATCAACATCTGACTTTCCTCCCCTTAAGATGTAAACAGTATTATATTTTTTACACTTTTGAGAAAAAATGGTGATGCGGGAGGGCAGTGGCCTTTACAGAATTCAAAGAATGTCAATTATTTTATGTTTGCTAATCTGTATTTGGGTCTCATTTTTTCCTGAGGTTTACACTCTGCAGTTATATATCCTACACAGGCATACTGATCTCTGAATTAACCTTAGTGTTCACGAAAAATCTAGAAAGGACAAAATATACTTTCGTAAACAAAATCACAGGTCTGGAAACATCTCCACATCAAAGGTATGATTTCAGGACCTATGGGTGGAAAAGAGGAATTCTGGTAATTACCAATGGCCTAGTACCCACTCATCTTTGGAATGTAACAGAGCTATTAGTTGTTTTTTTTTCTTTTTAAAAAAAAAAAGCAAAACAAAACACGGACCACATCTAAATACGTAAGAGAACCTGTAGAAACCTTTAGTAGAAGATTGATGAGCAAAGTATTTTTAAAAATAAGATTTATGTTCCGCATTTACCAAGCAAAGTCTTTATTTTTGCTTTTCCATAAATTGCAAGAGTCCATTTTATTTAGAATTACCTAATGCATTTACACTCAAAAGATAAAACATAACAAAAGGAAAAATCTTGTAATCAATGGTTGAAAAACAATCAAAATACCCCGAGTTTTAGTAGATCAATTTCAAAGGCAAATTCATAATGCAGAAATCTGAATCGATCGTTCCTGTCAGGGCGTTTTTTGGGGTTTTAAAAGTCTATTGGTTTAATCCTCCCAGTGTGACAGCAGAATTCGGAGACTAGGGCTACGCAGCTCAGCAAGCACCCCAGGCAACACTTGAACAGACAAACTACGCTCACGAAAAGAATTGTTATCTGGGACCATTTTTTCATGCAGCAATACCGCCCGCCCAACCTTTTAAGGACCCGCAATAGCTCTTTCCCTCCCTTCACCCCGCTTTTTTTTTTTTTCGGAACACGTGCCCGGGAGACTACCGCGGAGAAAAAACGAGCAAGGTTTATGGGCGTCACAACGTTTTGGGGGAATCGCTAACGCCTGCAGGTACTCAGCATTAGGTTTCTGTGTTATCCACGGCAAGGCCTAGCACGGGAGGCGGCTGCGCGTGAGCAGCGTTTCTTTTTTTAACTCCAGCCAACGACAAACGCGCAGAGCCTGCTGCTGCACATCCTCCGCGTCCCTCCATCCATCCTTTTACGAAGATGGTTGTAATTCTGGCGGGACCGCGGTTCTGCAGGGGCAGAGGGAGCGCGTGGGTGGGCGTGCGGCGCGCAGGAGGGGAGTCAGGGCGCGAAGGCGGGGGTGGGCGCGCGGGGGGCTACCGCTGCCAGGGCGGGAAGCGACGGGGTGGGGAGGGGGAGGTTGGTTCTGTGTGACGGGGGCCGGCGCGCGGGGGGGAAGATGATGATGATGGCCGAGGGGCTGGGTGATCGCCGAGAGGTTCCCTGCTAACCGGGGCCGACCGCGCTGCAAGATCTTGGAGCAGCTAAAGGGGCGCGACACTGAAACCGGGAATTCCCGACGGAACCGGGGACCCGGTGGGGGCTAAAAGAGCGCCGAGAAACGGGAGTTATTATGGGATGGCCGAGGGGGGCTCCCTGGGGGGCAATTACGGGATCTGTCTCACCCGCCAGTTGCTGTACAGTCTCTTCACTCGCCGATAATACGCGTCTTTGTCCAGAGTCACAGCCATGGCCACAGACGCCGCTCCTCCTCGGGCTCCGAGAATCACGCGAAGTCCCGGCTCCGCCAGCAGCTCTCGGGCCCGGAATCCCGCACTCTGCTAGTGCCCCGGAAGTACCGACCTCAGAAATGCCCCTTCCGCTTCCGGGTCCCAGCAGCGTGGGGGGGGGGGGGATTTTTTTTTTAAACAAATCGTGTCTCCGGAGATTATAGGGAAGACAGAGGGGCGGGGGGGGGGGGGGGGGGAATACCAGAGAAGATCAACAAAAAATGCAATGCAAAAAAAAAAAAAAAGAGATCTAGATTTTCGCGGGGTTTTCTTGTCAAGTTAGCAAACAGCAGCACGCGACCAGCCGTCCTCACGTGACGGCCGGAGCCGCCCTCGCCCAGCCCCGCCGCGGTTCCCAGGCGCTGCCTCTCGGCAGGGCGAGGCCTGGAGGGCTGACGCGCGCGCGGGTGGGGAGGCTCCGCCCCCGCCGTGGCCGGGGAGGCGGGAAGCCGGGGTCTGGCGGGGCGCGGCGGGCGGCGGGCCAGTCTACGCCGCGCCCTCCTCGCGGCACGGTTGGGAAGCGGAGCTTTTGGCTCCTCTGGGCCCGGGAGCCGCGGCGCTGTGGGGACGGGGCCCACGCCCACGCCGCTCTGACGAGGGAGAGGGCCCCGGCGAGGGCACGACTCGGCCTCACAACAGCAAAAGTCCCCGGCGGGGTCGCAGCCACGAGCACCCCAGTCCCCGGGGACCCACCCAGGCCGTGCCCGCGTTTTCCCCACCAGCCTCCGCAAGCGACACCATTTTAGAGCCTCCCCGAAGCACCGTTATTTCAGTTAATCCGAAACAAAATGTGCGTAGTTCCCGAAGAAATTCTTCCTTCACGTGTCTCCTAAGCACTTGCAGTTTGAAAGTGGTCATTATTTCATTATTATTATTATTTTGCGTGCTCTTTAGCTCGAAAGAGCTAGGTTCCCTTGCCTGAAGTTGGACACACCAGATATCCTTTACTGGGGGAGGGGAGGGGGGTTGGGAGGGTGCAGACCACCTAGTCTGTCTCCCCTTACCAAAAGTCTCCGGAAGGCACAGTAGTGAACTGGAAGGGAAGCGTGTTGAAATTACCCATCACAAACATCGATTCTTAAAATTAATATTTATATTGGTATGAGCAAATATAGAACAAGGGGAGAGTGGAAAAGGATTAACTTAAATTTATTAATGCCAAGGGGAAGGAAGGTAACAGTTCCTGACCCTCCAGCTGTATCCACAGTTCGGCCAGGAACAGGCTCTGCCAGAGGCTGGGCCAGCGCTACATAGTCTGTGGTTAAGGGAGGTGTCTGGAGAGGGGCGAGCATCAGCGGCTCTGTCTCCTGTCCTTCCCCAGAAATGAGGAAGTGCTCTGGATTATTTTAGGAGTCCCCCGCCCACCCAATTCTCTCAAATTTGGAAGCAATCAGGTACGAGTTTCCTTTTGCCTTTTCACCTCCTGGAGTTCTGGGTTTCCCACATCTCCCCTGCCCCTCCCACGATTCCATAGTCCAAGGGCCAGAGTAAATGAAAATACAGCAGCCACCCAAGCAATGGGGACCATGCTGGGGCATCAGTCGTCAGCATCTTCACTGGAGTCTGAGTTGGCTGGCATCATAGGGTCATCAATGAGTGAGAAGTCCCTTTCTGAGCTATCATAGCCCTGAGATAAATCATCATCATCATCGTCTTCATCCTCATCGTCCTCCTCAGGCTGCAGTGGGGGCAACCTCAAGGCAGTACCAGAAGTGGTAGTGGCTGGTGAAGAAGGGTAGCCAGTGGCTCTCAGGCCTGGATGGTGATGGTGGTGATGGTGGGGGTGGGGGTGGTGGTGGTGGTGATGAAGCATGGTGCTGGAGTCTACATGAGGGGATGATGCGGCACCACCCATCACAAACGGCATAAAAGGCAATGAAGCAGAAGTGGCACTGCTGTGACCCAGAGATGACACTGATTGCAAGCCACTGCTGCTGTGTTGGAAGGTGTTATGTAGAGATAGAGACCCGGTGCCTCCACCCTGCATCAGGGCCATCATTTTAGAAAGGTCTGGTCGCATCCTGCGGGCCCGTTTCTTGCTGCTATCTGGTGCAATAGGCCCGGGTAAAACCCGATTGAACACAGTTTCAGCATGGTGACCCTGGAAGAATGGAACATAAGAAAAAAAAAAGAAAAAAGAAACGGTGGGGGGGGGCGGGGGAGAAAGAAGAGGGGAAAGAAATAACAAGTTAACAGCGTCCTAGCTTGCAAAAACTTTTCCAAGAATCTCTTTGATCTTCAAGTGGGAAAATCAAAACAAGTAGTTTGCTTAAAAACAGTAATAAAAAAAATGTTACCTGGTTGAAGCATTCTGATGTTGAAGTGAATACAAAGGATTCGATAACAATTACGTGAACCGAAATTTTGATTTTTTAATGGTTATGTAATGTACAAATGCTACCTTTATTAATAATGATAATGATAAAGATAGTGTACTATCTCTAGCCTTTGTAGTTTTTTTCCATTTTGATATACTCACATATTGGCTAATTTTTTTTTTTGTTTTTTTTTGTTTTTAGGTCACACTCAGCCTTGCATAGGGTTATTCCTGGCTCATGTACTCAGGAATTACTCCTGGCAGTGCTCGGGGGACCATATGGGATGCTGGGAATCGAACCTAGGTCAGCCGCGAACACCTACCCGCTGTGCTATCGCTCCAGCCCCATTGTCTAAATTTTAAATTGTTTCCCTTTAGATATCCTTTCTTCAACTTCTCATTAATTTACTACTTCTGTTCCCTCTTGGAACTTTACTAGTTCCAAGTCAATACTGGGTAAACTGGAATTAAGCAAAAGTTTATAAGCTAAGCCTTAATAGCACTATTCTTATTTTAGGTTGGTTTTGTGTGTATGTGCAGTTAAGCACCCTACCACTTGTACTATCTCTCCAGCTCTCTGGAATGGTTTTATGATTCTGAAAAACAAATAACTCTGCCTGGACATTAAAAAGAATTTTTAGGAGAGAGAAAACAAAAGGGAAAGAGGCCAAAGAGGCAGGGTGGGCTGGGGGTTATGGGGGGTGGGAGGGATACTGGGATCCGTGGTGGTGGGAAATGGGCACTGGTGGAGGGATGGGTATTTGATCATTATATAATTGAAACCCAAACACAAACATCGGTAAGTCTACAACCGTACCTCATGGTGTCTCAATAAAAAAAAAAAAAAAATTTACCTCAGTGAAAAAATGGAAAAAAAAAAAAAAGACTGCATCACAAATATGCATGTATCCCTGAGCAGGAGCCACGCTAATATCTTATTTCAATTTTAAGATATATGCTGTAAAAGCAATCACTGCATGGGCTTTTAAAATGCAACTATAGGGGGTCTGGAGCAATAGTACAGCGGGAAGGGCAACTGCTTTGCACACGGCCAACCCAGGTTTGATCCTCAACATCCCAAATGGTCCCCTAAGCAACAACAGGAGTGATTCCTGAGTGCAGAGGCCAGGAGTGATCCATAAGCACCTCCAGGTGTGGCCCAAAAACCAGCATTTTTTTTTTTAATTAAAAAATAAGGGCTGGAGAGACAGCACAGATGCAGGGTACTTGTCTTGCACATGCCAACCCAGGTTTGATACCTGGGATCCCATATGGTCCCCTGAGCAATACATAGGTGATTCTTGAGTGCAAAGCCATGGATAACCTCTTAGTATTGCCATATGCGTCCCCCCACAAAAAATGAGAAAGAAGCCAGTTTTCTAGCTATCAGTCTTTGCATTATCAACCATTCCTGATTTCTATGCTTAGTCCCAGTAAAAAAATCAAACTCACTATACAAATAATTTATGGAAAATAATGCTATCCTTAAAATATTAATGCAGGGGCTGGAGCAATAGCACAGCTGGTAGGGCGTTTGCCTTGCAAGCGGCCGACCCGGGTTCAATTCCCAGCATTCCATATGGTCCCCTGAGCACCGCCAGGGGTAATTCCTGAGTACAGAGCCAGGAGTAACCCCTGTGCATCACCAGGTATGACACAAAAAGCCAAAAAAAGAAAAAAAAATATATATTAATGCAGGGCCTAGAGTGATAGCACAGTGGCACAGTGCTCACTTTGCATGCTGCTAACCTGGGTTAATCCCCAGCACTCCATATGGTCCCCCAAGCACTGCCAGGAATTAATTACTGAGTGTAGAACCAGGAGTAACCTCTGAGCATCACCAAATGTGTCCCAACCTACTTCTCCAAAATTTTAACACAAATATTCAGCTCATTTGGAAATTAATTTTGTTAAATGATAAACCACAGTGGGGCTTGCCTTGTATGATCCTGGTTCAATCCCCAGACCACATGTGCTCCCCTGAGAACTGCCAGGACTGATCTCTGAGCACAGAGCCAGAGTAAACTCTTGAGTACCGGAAGGTAGCCCAAGATTCCCCCAAATTTTAGACATAAATGGAAAGATATAAAAGGACAAATGGACAGTGATTCAAATAAGTACACAAATATAAAAATGTAGTAATCCATGTTAAATCACTACATGCTCAACTAAAACAACACACATTTAAAAAAATCTATATTCAAGAGAGGAAAGGAACAGAAACTATGGCCATTTAATCCAACAAATGGCCTAGTAAATGTGAAGAAAGCCTAAAAATAGCTGAAATGGAATAATGTAGAATCCAACTATTTATAAAATAAAAAATAAAGTTCCCTGTCCTGAGGCTGGAATGATAGCAGAATGGGTAGAGTGCTTTCCTTGCAAGCGACCGAACCAGATTTGATTCCCAGCATCTCATATGGTCCCCTGAGCAACGCCAGGAGTGACTCCTGAGTACAGAGACAGGAGAAACCCCTCCGCATCGCCAGGTGTGACCCCAAAAAAGCAAAATAAATAAATAAATAAAGTTTCCTGTCCCCTTCCCATTGTTATTTATTAGAGGTTTTCAACCTCATACATTAATTCCTTAACTGTTTCCCTTAATCGGCACCCCAAATTTTTCCTAAAATACACAGAATCAAAAAATCTAAGTATTGGGACCAGAGAGATAGTACAGCAGGTAAAGTTCTTGCCTTGCATGCAGATGACCCATGTTTGATCCCCAGCATCTCATATGGTCCCTGAGGACAGCGGGGAGTGATTCTTTAGTGCAAAGCAAGGAGT